ATTATTTGCCATGATCTTTTCTCCCTCAAGTAGTTAAAAGCAGCAAAGAAATCATGCTCAGAATATCGACGTAGAGTTTCAGCCATCAATATTGGCACTTCAAGCTTTAGAATTGCTAAGAAGATTAGCTTAAATAACTATGCAGCATTTACCACTGCAACTGATTCGTGCATCTGTCTGCAAACACTTCCATAGTCATTTGAAAGCTTCATATACTTTTACAGGCAGCTTTCGGAATCTTGATCTTTGACCCGAAGCCTTAGGCCTTTCACAACCCCCATTGTCCTGGAAATTAAGACGCTAATGATATTTGTGACCGCTTTCATACAAAATATTGCACATATGGTTGTAGCAGAAAAGTTATGTAGAACTAGAAGGCACTCAATGCTTTCCAAAACCTAAAAGGATCTTTGTGAATAATAAAGAAAATGGTGTGTCTCACAATGACAACCTCCCTCAAGAAAAGTATGTTTTCAGGGGTAATATGATGCCATATATGCTATTGGACACACAAAACCAAATGTCATTCTAATATACAGGCTAAACATGATATAGAATCAATAAAAGGAACTTACACTATCCTCACTATTTTCTTGGTCTCGAAAAGTATCATGGGGAACCTCCAACTTAGCCATCATTTTATGTCAAAATCTCATTTACCATTAACTTGATGACATCTTCATCAAAATTGGCCCATTCTTCATACACTGTGGAAGAAGACTTTAAATGATTTTCTAGGAGTGAAGGATCATTGGTCATCTTTATAAAATCCCCATCATCCAACATCTTATCTTATCATGACGTTGCACTAGGTACTTTGAATAACACTCGAAAAGCATATTGCATAGTTTCATTACAGCTTTCTAAATGACATATAGCTATTCAAGACCGCCATTCTTCTTTTGCAGGTATTAGGTGGCGCTGGAAGATTTCGAATTGATGCCCAATCTACACGGTGATATTTTTCCCCAAGAGCAGCTCGGATCTTGCATATTCAATCACCAATAGTCTGAGAGAAATTGATCAATGTGAAAACATAAGAAGCGAATAAATCCTTGAGTATTAGAAAACTAAAATGAACGCCACACAATGGTAATCTAGTACAATGATGCATGCAAGAGAATATTATAGAGCATTTACATTTGATGTTTCAATTTAATGATTTTGTAGCAATATGAAACATAAATTAGCGAAAGAGTCAGTTGCTTCTGTAGATAATATCTATGGATAGGTGTTTGAGCAACTAAGTATCACCTATCTGCCCCTTTTATGTCCACAAGAATTTCTTCGTATGTGCCATATTAAACTTTGCCAGGGCTTGCTTGTGAATAAAGGTATGGATCATCTTATCGTCTTCGGTATTGCACATTTGGCCCACCTGTCTTGTCATCACCATCATATATCTGCAAATGACAACCACAAACTTCAGGAATAGTTCATGTGAGGTGGTGTTGTAAAGTTACTTGGCTATGAGGAGTAATACCAGACTTAATCTTTCCAGGGTGATTCTCCAACTGCCAGGCTAGCCGTCACAAGTTTTTGATATAAATTCTGCTATTTTTAAATTTTTTTATCATGTACTTAAAAATAAAAACAACTGAACCGCACCGCAACTTGGCAAACATATGGAATATAAAATTTTGTTTACTAAAATACTTGAACCAAATCACACTAAATACCAGTTCGACTCAATTTTCAATTTTGCCTCGATTTTTCTATACATATATAATTTATTTGGTGCAGTCCGATGTAAAATTGTACCAGAACAAACAAAACCGAAAATCGAATGATATTTGAACAACGCCGCATAGAAAAAAAATTAGACTAAAACTATTTCCACGTTAAACATTGAAACCGAACTGCATTGAATTTAGGAAAAAATCTTTTTTCACCCCAATACAAAGACACATTAAATTTTTCACACCGCCCAATAAAAAAATAAGTTTTTCACCCCGGAAAGTACGAAGGTTATGCGAAAAACTATCGCATAACTGTCGCATATTCATCGCACAATGCCTTCGCACTTTAACTCTTTTTCACCCAGAAAGTGCGAAGGGATATGCGAATGCCTTCGCACTTTTAACTTTCGCACAATGTCATCGCGCAATTGTCGCATATTCATCGCACAATGCCTTTCGCACTTTCTAAGGTGAAAAAACTCAGCTTTTCATTGGGCGGTGTGAAAAACTTAAAAAAACTTCAAAACGGGGTGAAAATAGCTATTTTCACTTGAATTTAGGAGTGTTCACGATCCAGATTGGTCTGATTTTAGCCCCAAACCATGACCAAACCGGACCTAACGGTTAATTTTTGTTCTTGTCCATAACCGGACCGGTTTTATTTTTTAACCGGCCACAATCCGGACCGCTTTGGACGGTCCGATTTGGCAGTTAACCAGTTAAATCCAAAATCCTTGTTATGGGCCTTCATTTTTTTATTTTATTTTATTTTATTTTATTTTATTTTTTTTCATTTTGGGCTTAATTTTATTTTTCAAATTTGGGCCAAAAGAGATTATTTAGACCTAAAAATTAAGAAAAACAACAATAATGAAATAAAAAATACACAATCGTCCATAAGCATAAAAATACACATTTCGTCCCATAAACATAAAAATACAATAACGATGAAGATTAAATTATGTAAAATGAACCCAAACAAGGTGGGAAAAAGTGAAAAATTATAGTATCTTAAAAAATTAAGTGAACAAAATGCCAAAAAGTGAAAGTGAATATATTGTATTTGTCGGTCATAGTGAATGACTGAATGTATATATATATATATTTGTTATAGTTTTTTAATATTTACCGGTCCGGTCTGGATAAACCGGCGGTTTGCCGCAGGTAATCCGTTAACCGGACCAATTACTCCAATTTTTAAAAAAAATAACCACCGAATTTTTTAAGACTTTTTTAACCGACCACTTAATCGATCCGCAGTTCGAATTAACAGTTTTTTTTGGTTAAAACCGGACCATGAATATCGAATTGCACAATTCGACTCGATTTTCCAATTTGGATCGATTTCACTCGCCTCCCATTTTATCCTTCCATCGTGCACTGGCATGTGCCCATTGTAAAACTGTGTCAAATATCTCATTGTTTTCTTCCCCCAAATCGATTCGAACTCTAAACCTAATAGTTATGCTCAGCGTACTCCCATCCACGCTTTAATTCCCCGCCAAAAGAAAAGGAAAAAAAAAAACCGAGAAAAACAATTCTGTGCTGCCACCACCGCCCTTCGCCCGGCATGGACTCCGCCGTCCACTCGGCACTTGAAGAAATTTGCTCCGCAGCTGCAAACGGGCTCCACCTCCGGAGCCTATGGACGAGACTCGACCCGCAGCTCGCGTCCCAGGGCCTCCCCCTCGGCCCGAACGTGAAGCGTGCCGTGTGGGAGAATCTTCTGGAAATTCCAGGGCTCAAACTCGAGGCCTGTGATGGCTGCGCTCTGGACAGCTCGAAGCAGGATTTGGTGAAGCGAACCGTTGAGGAGTGTGAAAAGATGGATGTCAAAATCGTGGCTCCGGAGTCGATGAGGAAGAGCTTTCTAGGCATTTACGAGATGGAGTCCTCAGAGTCTGGCCTGTCTGATATGCAGCGACTCATTCTTGAGCGGCTTGCTGTTGCTAGGTGAGCTTGAATTTGCTCATGATTGCGAGTGATAAACATTGTGTTTATCTGTTTTTGATATATTGTTCTTTTTTT